CAGGGTCTGCTAAGGTCTTGTCCCTCCTGGTGGCTCCTGGTTTCCCTTTTCTTGCTGCTCAACAGCCACCTCCCCACTCATGTACCAGTACAAGACAGATGTGTCCTCTGCACACACCATGCAGGTCTTTCAAAGATGAGGAAGGGTGGAGGGTGAGTGACCTGTGTCTTTTCCAGCACTCAGACCAACCTCCACAATATCATGACCAGGGTGGATCAGGCTGTAGCCCGGATCCCCAGCCTCAGCAACCGACTCAGCTATGCTGTCCGTAAGGTCCACACCATTAAGGGTACGCAGAGCAACCGTGAGGTTTCCAGCCTGTCTCCACTGGCCTGGCCCCTTTCTCCTAGCCCTGGATCTAACCCCATAGCTATCTTCTGTTGCCGTGGTAACCATTGCTGTGCCCTGTGCTGCTGCTGTCCTGCTGTCCTTCTGTCTGTGCATCACTCTGTCCTGTGCTGCTGCTGTCCTTCTGTCCATGTGTGCCCATCTCCCTGTCCTTTGCTTTTCCTTCTCAGGTTTGGTGGCTCGAAAACTGTCCCTTGCTCAGCTGCGCCTGGAAAGGTGAGGTGCAGGCGCATGGAGGTGGAGGGCATGGTGGATGTCGAGGGCGGTCCGGTATTGGTTGCCAGGACTCAGAAAGGATCAAGGAGGGATGGAGGCCCTGGTCATGTGGCTGCTGAGGGAATTTTCTCTATCATTTCTGTCCCAGCTGTCCCCCACCCCCACCCCCACCGGATGCAGACCTGTGCCTTGAGTTGGAGCAGCTACGGGAAGAACGGAACCGCTTAGATGCTGAGCTGCAGCTGAGTGCCCACCTCATCCAGCAGGAGGTGGGCCGGGCACGGGAACAAGGTATGTCTGCATGGATGGATGGATGGGGCTGGAGAAGACTTGGGGTCTGAGGCTCAGGTGCCAGGAGAGGTCATGTACGACCACAAAAACTTCCTTTTAGGGGAGGCAGAGCGCCGGCAGCTGAATGAGGTGGCCCAGCAGCTGGAGCAGGAGCTGCAGCGTGCCCAGGAGTCCCTGGCCAGCGTGGGGCAGCAGCTGGAGGCAGCACGTCAGGGCCAGCAGGAAAGCACAGAAGAAGCTGCCAGCCTCCGGCAGGAGCTCACACAGCAACAGGAGATCTACGGGCAAGGTGTGGGAGTGTGGCAGTGCGTGCCACCCTGCAAGGTGGGCAGCTCCCCTGACACTGCCTTGTACCCTCACTACAGCCTTGCAAGAGAAGGTGGTCGAGGTGGAAACTCGGCTGCGGGAACAGCTCTCAGACACCAAGAGGAGACTGAACGAGGCTCGGAGGGAGCAGGCCAAGGCTGGTAAGATGTGCTGGGGAGGACTTGGCCCTTCAGGAAGCAAGCAGCCTTGAGACATAGGGCTGTTAACCCCATCCCACCGCAAACCTTTTTGAAGCTTTTATTGACACATGCACGTAGTGAAGTAATGGAGGAATGGTATAGTTGAATTCTTACTTAGTGCACACACTGCACCTCGTACCAGATCAAGAAACAGGCGGTGGTGGCGCACGCCTTTAATCCCAGCACTCAGGAGGCAGAGCCAGGCGGATCTCTGTGAGTTCCAGGACAGCCAGACTGTTATACAGAGAAACCCTGTCTCAAAAAACCAAAGAAAGAAAGAGGGAGGGAGGGAGGGAGGGAGGGAGGGAGGGAGGGAGGAAGGAAGGAAGGAAGGAAGGAAGGAAGGAAGGAAGGAAGGAAGGAAGAGCACGTGGCCTCTCTGGCTCCTGGGCCTGTGTCAGTACCCTCAGCAGACACCACTGGCAACTGCCATCACCAGAAACTTAACAGTTGGATGAGAGAGAGTTGTAGGATGGATGTTCATGTCTTCCCTAAGTAGAGGTGCAGTCAACACCCCTCTCTTACCTATGCAGCACAAATCACATGGGGACTAGTTACAGGCGCTCTCACTCCAGCCCCTGTCCAGGTCTTGCCTAAGGAACTGGTGTCAGGGATGAGGAAGGCACCTGGGGTTCACAGAGCCCAGGACCCCATGACATCAGCCCACTCATGGTGTGGAAGAGACCCTGAGAGCCAGAGCTGAGAACTCGGTCTCGTTGTTTGGGCTCCGGGCTGACCCACTCCCATCTCCTTAGTGGTTTCCTTGCGCCAGATCCAGCACAAAGCCATTCGGGAAAAAGAGCGCAACCAGGAACTCAGACGCCTGCAGGATGAGGCCCGGAAGGAGGAGGGGCAGCGGCTGGCCCGTCGAGTGCAGGAGCTGGAGAGGGACAAGAACCTCATGCTGGTAAGGCACAGCAGGGAGCGAGGTTGTGGTAGCTGGTGGGTAAGGAAAGGTGGGGGCGGCTCGGTGGCCAGTGTGGCTGACGCTCTCCTTCCCAGGCCACTCTGAAGCAAGGGGGTCTCCTCTCCTGTTACAAGCAGCAGCGCCTGTTGGCCATGCTTCCCTCGGGGAAGGAGAAGTCCGTGGGGTGCAGCGCCCGGGCTGTGGAGTCCCCAGAACCCAAGTGTCCAGCAGCTGCACCATCCAGGGAACCTCCAAAAGGTAGTTTACATTCTAGACCTTCCCCCACAGGCCAGAGCCCTAAAGGCCCTTAGCCTTTCATCATGCTGCAGTGTGCCCTCCCAGCCTGTGCAGCCCCGTGCTCGGGGCAGCACGGAACCTGCTCTCACCCTGGTGTCCGTCCTGCAATGTTTTTTGAATCAGGGTCCCTGACTGTCCTGTTTGAAAACCTGCAATGCCTGAGCGAGGCCATTTCCAGAGAGGAGGCTGTTTGTCAAGAAGATAACCAGAACACTTCAGACCACTGCTGAGCTGGAGCTGCCAGGAGCAACAGTGAAGCCAGCTGGAGCTGGATCTCCCAGGAGGGATGGATAGGGAAGACGTGGGGCAGGGGCCAGCCTAGACTGTTCCCCAGCAAGCCTTGGGGCCCTAGCTTCCACCAAGTCTGAATTCTGCAATAAATAAAGATGACTGTAGTGGAGCTGTTGCTTGGAGATGGCTGGGAGGCTGGGTTCTTTCTAAAGTCAGCTCATGGGGCGTGGGGCTGTGGGAAGCATATCCTCCCACACCACCCTTCCTGAGTGGTACCCGCTTCCTAGCTGCTCTGGACCTGTTTTGAGAGGTTCCCGGGTTTGGAGGTTTTGTTTTTGTTTTGACTTTTGAGACAGGGTCTCCACATAGCCCTGGCTGTCCTGGAGCTCACTGGATGTAGACAGGCTGGCTTTGAACTCAGAGATCTCTTACTTGGCTCTATCTCTCAAGTTCTCTCTCTCTCTCTCCCTCCCCTCCTCTCTCTCCCCTTCCTCTTTTTATGTAGCCTTGGCTGTCCTAGAACTCGCTCTGTAGTCCAGGCTGTCCTTGAATTCAGAGATTCACCTGCCTCTGCCTCCCAAATACTAGGATTAAAGGCATTTGTCACTGCTGCCTGGACCAAGTTTTCTTTACCTTCACTTTTTGTTTTAGAATTATTTTCTTTGGGTGATGATGAATGCTTGGAGCAAAATACTAAACATTCAGCATTCAAGAAGAGTCTCAGGCCTTCCTAGCCCAGGACCACTGTGATGGTGGCGTCAGTAGGGGAGGGGATGGTGGGCTCAGTGGTTCAGGACAGAGGATACAGTTGGATTTTACTCCAAAGCTGGTCCAGATTGTGTTGTAAAGGGATTTAGAGTGGGTTGGAGAGGTGGCTCCGTGGTTAAGAACACTGGCTGCTCTTCCAGTTCTGGTGGGTCCAGTGCCTTCTGACCTGACTGCATTGCATGCATGTGGTGCGCAGATATACATGCAGGCAAAACCCACTCATGGGACTGGAGAGATGGCTCAGTGGATAAGAGCACTGACTGCTCTTCCAGAGGACCTTGGTTCAATTCCCAGCATCCACATGGCAGCTCACAAATGTAACTCCAGTTCCAGGGGACACAACACTCATGGTAAAACACCTATGTACATAAAATAAAAATTAAAAAAAACACACCCCTTTCACATGAAAAAAAAAATCGCCGGGCGGTGGTGGCGCACGCCTTTAATCCCAGCACTCGGGAGGCAGAGCCAGGCGGATCTCTGTGAGTTCGAGGCCAGCCTGGACTACCAAGTGAGTTCCAGGAAAGGCGCAAAGCTACACAGAGAAACCCTGTCTCGAAAAACCAAAAAAAAAAAAAAAAAAAAAAAAAAAAATCTTGTCTGGGTGTGAGTAGGGAGGAAGAGTAACTGGGTTAAAATCTTGGGAGCCTGAATGAGATGGTCCAGGGTCAGGATGGGGCCCAGGTGAGTGCTATGGAAACAGAGCTTACAAGTGATCAATCACAGGCAGTGTTTGGGGATGGAGTTGTCCTTCAGATACTCAAGGATTCTTGAGGAATCTCTGGGGGGAGGTGGTCGGGGAGCAGGACCCTGGTGCTGGGGCCATCCTGAGGAAGGAAGAAGGAACTAGATTACATGGGGGAGCGTCTTTCCGAGCCTTAGCGGTTGACGCAGTCATCTCTGCATGGGGTCAGGAACCAGGATATCCTGGCTTCTAGTCACCCAGGTGGCTCCCGGTGGAATTCCTTAGATGTCACTGCCTGGGAGGTCCTTTTGTAGTGAAGAGACACGCCTGAGAGCAGCCTGCACCGTCCAAAGGAGGTGGGGGAGGGGGCTCTGAGGCTGTGATGAGAGTCTAGGGATGCTCCTGACCCAGGCGTCCCGCCTCCACCTGTAATTACCACGCTTCCCCACGCGGGGTTTGCCCCCGTTCGGTGGCTTCCAGTAACTATCAGGGATGAAAGGTGGCCTTCCCTGTGATTATGGAGGTGACAGGCGGGTACTGAGGGGTGCAGGGTGTGGATGGAGGGGGTGTGAAAACTGGGTGGGGCCTCCTGGGGTCTGGGTCACTGATAGGGAGACCTGGCTGATGGGACCTGGGCTGGGGGACTGAAGAGAAGTTACCAGCAGGTTCTTTGTAAACGGGTCTGACCAGTTGAGCTCTGATGGGGATTCCTCACGTCACTGGGCTGGCCCCTCCCCACAGGCTGGTCACCTCCTTTACCTCCACTATAAAGCCTCTTGGGTTCTCAAGCACTTAGACTCAGAGCACCCTACCCTGGGGGTCAGCAGACAGCCATGATGCTCAACTGGAAGCTGCTGGGGCTCCTGGTCCTTTGCCTGTGTGCTGGAGGTGAGTTGGAGAGGCTAGGAGCACATCTAGGGTGATGGAGTCAAAACAACTCACCCTTAGGGAGGGGACCCCCAGGATCGAAGGAGCAAATGGAATGCAAGGAGCAGAGGAATTCCGGGGGGTGTCCAGCGAGGAAGGCGGGGCCCCTCGGTTCTCACTATGTCGCTAGGTCAGGTGGAGGGATGTGACAGGAGCTTGGGTGTGTGGAGTCACTGGAACTGGGGTCTGTGTTGAGGACTGGTTATAACAGAGATGAGGCCTGAGTGCCATGTGGGGCCAAGACCACTTTGGGGGCAGTTCCAGTGGGGTATCTCGACCTAGGTTGGACAGAGCCATTTGGAGGCTTGATCACGTGGGTGGTCCCGATGAGCCTAGGCTTTCACATCATGTGAAGATGGCTTCAGTACTTGGGAAATCCGTGGGAGCACTTTGGGGAGGTTGGTTCTAGGGCCAGCTCAGGCTGTGCTGCTCTAAGGGGGGCTCAGCCTTTGGGTCTGAAGCTGGGTGAGGAGTGGTCTGTGACTCCATCTCTCTCCTTCCTCTTCTACAGGCATCTCAGGCAGTGGGGACCCCTCTCCCAGACCCACAGAAGCCCAAGAAGAGGAGGACTCCTCGGCATTGCCCCTGGGCCCCCCAATTCCTGGGGACCCCTGGCCAGGGGTCCCTCCTCTGTTTGATGAACCTCCACCCCCAGGCCCCAACCGTCCCTGGAGAGACCTACCTGATGCTGGTGTCTGGCCCCCAGAGCCCCCTAGCACCAATCCCCCTCAACCTCCTCTGCCTGATGACCCCTGGCCAGCAGGAACCCAGCCCCCAGAAAACCCCTGGCCACCTGCCCCTGAGATGGACCATGGATCTCAGGAGGAGCCAGACCTTGACCCACCCCAGGAAGAGTACAGATAGGGAGGAGCCCCAGGGAACTTGGGTGAGCGTCCTCAGAACACACCCAAGCCCACCTCTTTCCTCTGCTGCCCCCTTAGAATCTCAATTTTTCCTAATTGCTTAGCTCGCTACCTAAGGCTCTGGTTGGATTGTGTTCAGGTGTCTATGTTCTGCAACCCCCATCCCCCTCACCTTGAGGTCCAGGTTCAGCCCCTAACCCCCCCTCACCTTGAGGTCCAGGTTCAGCCCCTACCCGCTCCCCCCCTTCACCTTGAGGTCCAGGCTCAGCCCCTAACCCCCCCTCACCTTGAGGTCCATGTTCAGCCCCTAACCCCTCCTTCACCTTGAGGTCCATGTTCAGCCCCTACCCCCCCCCCCTTCACCTTGAGGTCCATGTTCAGCCCCTACCCGCCCACACACACACCTTGAGGTCCATGTTCAGCCCCTACCCGCTCCCCCCTTCACCTTGAGGTCCATGTTCAGCCCCTCTACCTTTCTTGGTCAGAGTAAAGTAAAGCACACTCCTACCTCATCCAACCTGTTCCTGCTTCCTCTTCCCAGGCGTCTAGACCTCAACCTCCAGGGAGGGCCTGAGCACTGTGCTCCCTACTGCCTCCTGGTGGCCTTATCTGGGAAATGACAGTTGACCAGGATGGTGCTTCCAATAAGAAAATACAAGCCGCCTTTTCTTCTGTACTTCTGAATCTAGGTTGCTTCTTCTTTGTCTTCCTCTTTTTTTTTCCCCCTCGGAGACAGGGTTTCCCTGGCTGTCCTGGAACTCACTTTGTAGACCAGGCTGGCCTAGAACTCATAGAGATACGCTTGCCTCTACCTCCCAAGTACTGGGATTAAAGGCATGCACCACCACTGCCCGGCCCATTTTCGTGATTAATGATTGTTGTGGGAGGGTTCAGTCCATTGTGGGCTTTGCCACTCTGGGCAGGTGGTTCTGGGTTGTGCTTTTCTGTCTCAAAAAAAAAAAAAAATTAGGGCTGGAGAGATGGCTCAGAGGTTAAGAGCACAGGCTGCTTTTCCAGTGTGTCCTGAGTTCAATTCCCAGCAACCACATGGTGGCTCCAACCATCTATAATGAGATCAGGTCCCCCCTTCTGGCCTGCAGGCATACATGCAGGCAGAACACTGTATACATAATTAATAAATAAATCAAAAAAAAAAAAATTTAAAAAAAAAAAAAAAAAAAAAAATTTAAAAAAAAAAAAAAAAAAAAAAAAAAATTAAAACAAAAAGGATTATAAACCTGCTTCCAGCAGCAGGAACGTGGAGCCAGAAGGGACAGGATTACTAACTGACAATAATGACGCCCACAACCCACCGGCTATGTGAGTGCCAAAGCCACGTCCTGGCAGGAACACCGTGGGTTCAGGGGAGTCACAGTGAGGGAGTCACAGCCACGGCAGGACCTGGAGCAAGTGTGGGCCGGAGCCGGAGGGTCCCCAAAGCTCAACCCGGAGCCTCAGGCAGGCAGTGCAGACAAAGAAGCTGCTCCGTGTTCTGTGCCCTCACCTGACGCTGCTGCCGACTGCTGTCCTGGCAGGGCCCAGGAGACACCGTCCTGGGCGAGAGAAAGGGGTAGGGCCTGGAGGAGGGCAGTGACTCCTGAAGAGCATGCAGGAGACAGCTAGGGAACTCAAACCCTGGTTGATGTTGCACTAACCACTCTAGTTTTGAATATTAAACTACATCCATTTGGGAGCACCTGGCCCACAACCCAGTCTCTGAGCTGTCCTGAATCCTTAGTGCATGCTTAAAAAAATAAAAGATTTATTTATTTTTATGTGTATGTATCAATGTATAGCTGTTTTATCTGTCTGTCTGTCTGTCTGTATGCATACCCTGTACGTGCCTGGTAACCCAGAGGTTTAAAACAAAAAAAAGGCACGAGACCCCTGGAACTGAAGTTAAAGAGGATTGTGAGCCACCATACAGGTGCTGGAAATCAAACTTAGGTTCTCTGGAAGAGCAGCCAGTGCTCTTAACCACTGAGCCATCTCTCTAGCCCCATAATTCATATCTTACAAGTAGCTGAATTCACCAACAAATGGCAAAAGTGGATTGAAATGGTAGCTGGCCTGGCTTTGTACCTGACAGACAGACACTGTTGGATAGGCTGAGGATATTAGGGAAGGCCTTGGGGCCAGAGTCAAGGTCTCTGCTCTCCCCTCCCCACTCCGCTCCTCTCTCCCCTCTTTTCCCCCTTCTTCCTTCTCTCCCATCTCTGTTTATTCATTCTCTTTGAATTCTTTTTTTTTTTTTTTTTGAAGACAAGTTCCTTCTACATAGCCCAGGCTGGCCTGGAACTGCTATGTAGACCAGGCTGGCCTCACACTCACAGAGATCTATCTGTCTCTGCCTGCTGAGGGCTGGGACTAAAGGCGTGTGTCAATATACCCTGCCTGTTTTTCCTGTTTGAATTTTGGAGTCTCTTCCATCTCCTGAGCGTTAGGGTCACAGGTGGTCACCACCATGCCCAGTTATATCCTAGGTTTCTAGCCCAGGGCTTTGCGTATGTCAGACAAGCGTATCTACCATCGGAGTTACATTCCTAGCCTCCTCCTCAACCTTTTTTTTTTTTTTTTTTTTTCCTTTCAATTAATTTTTTTAAGCAAGGGCTCCTGTAGCCCAGGCTGTCCTGGAACTCCAGGTTTTACAAATACTGAGATTACAGTGTGCCAACCTTCCCTGCCCCTCAGACTTTCCAGGGGAGATTTTTCACTGAGGGACATTCTCAGCCCATTGGGGAAATAAAAACCAATGCTAACCTCTTATAAGGGAGGGGGATTAAAGGAATGGAACAGTCCCTCAGGCCCGGTGTGGCCCAGTTAAGGAGTGAGGGCTCTTGATGTCTCTGACTTTGATGCTGGTTATGCTGGTTTCTATGTCTTTCCTTCTCTACTCAGTATGGGGTTCGAAGCCGGGCAGTGGTGGTGCACGTCTTTAATCCAGCACTCGGGAGGCAGAGGCAGGTGGATCTCTGTGAGCTCCATTCCAGCCCAGTCTACAAAATGAGTTCCAGGCCAGCCAGCCAGGAATTTTACACAGAAAAACCCTATCTTGAAAATCAAATCAAAACAAAACAAAACAAAACAAAAGAATGGGGTTCCTGAGGCAGGCTGAAGCTTTCTGGCTTTGTATCCTTTTTCTGTTCTGTAATACTTAGCCAAGAGTTGTTCAACAAAGCAAGTTCTTAGCCCCATTTCAGAGGTTAGGATACTGCGCTGAAGCCAGGTGTAGGTGGTGCATGTCTGTAGCCACTTGGGAGCCTGAGGGAGCAGGACTGAAGGTTTGATACCAGCCTGGGCAATGTAGTGAGATCCTGTCTCAAGGAAAAGGAAAGCAGGAAGGAAGGAAGGAAGGAAGGAAGGGAGGGAGGGAGGGAGGGAGGGAGAGAGGAAGGAAGGAAGGGAGAGAGGAAGGAAGGAAGGAAGGAAGGAAGGAAGGAAGGAAGGAAGGGAGGGAGGGAGGGAGAGAGGAAGGAAGGGAGGGAGGGAAGAAGCGTGTTGGGGGGGAACAGGACAACTACATTGAGCAATGAGAGATAACTCACCTGCCCATGACACACCAGTGTGGAAGTCAAGGCCGCGCAGGGCTGCCTGGCTCCAACCCATTCTCAGCTGGATGCAGCAGGTGGACGGTGGACGAGTGGGATGAGGTAACTGGGGGTTTCAGTTCCTATTAATAGGCTGTATTTGCATTGACACATGGTATGTTTTACTAGCTGGGAGGAGACTGGGTGGTTAGGAGTCCTCCACACAGGAAGAGCCATTGTGCTGGTCTCTGTCACTTCCTCCCTGTATACCTGGTCTCACCAGAGAGTGCGTGCAGTGGGCACATGGACTCTTGTGTCAATAGGGAGTCATGGAATTAAATGATGAAACCGAACGGCAAGTTTGCATAACAATAGCGAGGTGTGCATGAGAGTCAATAAATGCTTGGCCAAGGACGGAAAAGAGCTCGATAGGTTCACCGGGTAATCTCATAATGGGAGCGGGGCGCCCCAGGAAGCATCAGTACAGACTCCAGGCGGGAGAGCGTCCTCCTCGAACGGTGAGGAGAGATGGTGTCATCCTGCTTTGGAGATCTCAGGCAGGGAACTCTAACCACTCATTTCTTCCTGTTTCTACACATTCAGCATTTACTGAGACTCTGTCATGTGGGGTGCGGGTGCAGTGACAGACCCAGGAAGCAGTTTCTGTCCTCCCTGCCCTCAAGGAGCTCTGTGTCTAGGGAAAAAAATAAACACATCAATCATGGTGGCCATAAGACGTATTCCAGTTAAGTTAGAGAGGAACCCCAAGCGTCTGCCAGCACTGTCTCAAATTCTCCTGCCTATAGACTTGCTTTGCCCTGAGCTCAGCCTCTCTTACTGATACTGTTTTGTCCCTATTTGTTCTTTTCTTACTTTTTTTAAGGTCTGGGGGACGGTTCTCAGGACCTCATACACGGGTCACACTAGTTAAGTGCGCTACCCTTGAGCTACGCCTTACGCCTCACCCATTATGATGCTTATGATATTTATAGTTTGAGACAGGGTCTCATTTGGTCCCAGGCCGTCTTTGAATTCCCACATAGCTAAGATACCTTCAAAGGCCTGATTCTCTTGCCTCCACCTCCTGATGCTGGGGTCACAGCTGTGTGTGTGCACACTACCACCCCTGGTACTAGGCCTTGAACGCAGAGCACTCTACCCACTGAGGCCCACCCCAGGCTTCCTCCTATTTGTGATTGTTGTTGTTAAGGGAAGGTTCTGCTCTGTTGCCTAGGGTGGTCTCAAAACCCCAGGATCAAAGGACACTCCAGCCACCAGTCTGTGGCAGTGGTGGCACACGCCTTTAATCCCAATACTTGGGAGGCGGAGGCAGGTGGATCTCTGTGAGTTCAAGGCCAGCCTGGTCTACAGAGTGAGTTCCAGGACAGCCAGGACTGCACAGATCTTGTCTCAAACAAAACAAAACAAAACAAAACAAACAAACAAACAAACAAACAAAAGATAGTCCAGCCTCACTCAGTCCCCAAGTAGCTGGATCTAGAGCCTGCAAATATACAACATAGCACTCACTTGCTCATTTATTTGTTTATTTATTTTGAGACAGGATTTCACTATGTAGCCCTGCATGGCCTGAAACATACTCTGTAGCCCAGGCTAGCCTTAAACTCAGAGATCCACCTGCCTCTGCCTCCTGAGTGTTGGTATTAAAGGTGCGTACCACAATAC